CAGATTCTGTGTCTCCCTCTCTCTCTGCCCCTCTCCCTCTCGTGTTTTTCATCTCTCTCTCTCCCTCTCAAAAATAAACAAACATATATTTTATTAAATATATATTATATATATTTATATGTACACATATATATGTATACATATATATTTATATGTATACAATATACATATATATATTAAAAAAATATATACAGACAAATACTTCTACTACCACATTATGCTTTTTCAAAAAGGCACATGAGTGCACACTCACACACACAGATAATGCATGGATACTATTCACAAATCTAGTAAGTAGCGCCATTTCTCTCTACTACCAAGGCTATTTCTTAGCAGTCGCCAAAAGGAGACTGCAAAAAGAAAGTAAGGTCATCGATGTCTCTAAGCTCATGCAAAAATACCTGATTTTCAAAACAGCTTTATGGACATGGATATATTTCCCATCAATTCGAAACTTCAGATCAGCAGTTTCCGGACTATCAAATTCTTTCTTCAGTGATTCAGCAACTGTTAAAAAGTCTTCATGCTCTGAAAGCAACAAACCCATTATTAGTACATAAATCTGAAGAAATGTGCCGGAGATAAGAAAAGACTTCTAAAAGATAACCATTAGCAAGGTGAATAATTCAGATTTTTTTCAAGTTTGTGCCTTATTTGACAAATCAATTTCACCATATTAAAATACGTATCTTAAGTCTATAAACTACCAAAAAATATGTATGTAGTTGAAAAGGCCAATTACCAGTCTTATATATGAAGTCAGACATTTAAAAATGTATATTTTTTAGGGGTGCCTGGGTGACTTGGTCAGCTGAGTGTCCGACTTTGGCTCAGGTCATGATCTCAACAGTTTGTGAGCTCAGGCCCCACATCGGGGAGAGCCAGCTTGGAAGTGGGAGCCTGCTTCAGATTCTGTCTCTCTCTCTCTCTCTGCCCCTTTCCCAATCTCTCCCTCTCTCTCTCTCAAAAACAAAACATTTAAAAACTTTTAAATGTGTATTTAAAAAAGAAAAGAAAAATTTATAGGCAGTCCATGATTGTATCACTGCTCACTTAAAACTTGATTGGTTCTCCCCATGTTTATAGCATCGCCAAACTGGAAAAAGCCCAAATGTCTATCGACGGATGAATGGATAAAGAAGATGTGGTATATATATACAATGGAGTATTACTCAACAATCAAAAAGAATGAAATCCTGTCATTTGCAACTACGTGGATGGAACTGGAGGGTATTATGCTAAGCGAAAGTAGTCTGTCAAAGAAAGACAAATATCATGTAACTTCACTCATGTGGAATTTAAGAAACAAAACAGATTAACATTAAGGGAAGGGAGGCAAAAGTAATACAAAAACAGGGAGTGGGATAAAACATAAGAGACTCTTAAATACAGAGCACAGAGGGTTTGCTGGAGGGTTGTGGATTGGGGGATGAGCTAAATGGGCAAGGGGCATTAAGGAAGACACTTGTTGGGATGAGCACTGGGTATTAACATGTAGGGGATGGATCACTGAAAGCTACTGAAATCATTGTTGCACTATATGCCAAGTAACTTGGATGTAAATTTAAAAATTAAAAAAAAAAAAAAAAGAAAAAAACTTGAGTGGTTCTCTTCCAGGGCTAAGAATTTATCAATTCTCCTTGACTGAAACACTGAAAACACCTTTGCTCTGCTTTGGGGTAGTTTCAAGGGGTTGGTAAATTCAACTCCAGGAGCGTCAAGAAACAAACTTACGAGTAAAGTAGTAATGCTAAGCAGTCATGTTCTTATGCAGAAAAACCCTTTTTCCTAGGTATGTGGAATCTAAACATCCCTATCAGCCCTAAATATTAATGTACAAATAATCCTTACATGCTATCTAAAAACAGAGCAAATTTACTTAGTAACAATGTATACTCAAAGGGAACAGTTTTATAAAAACATGACCACATTGCCTGATAAGAACTGTTATATGTAAGAAGGACTATGTCCTTATGAAGAAAAGTAAAGGCACTTGTACAAATTATGTAACACCTTCCTGTGCCATGTGTGGACAAAGGAAAACCGGTAAAAGGCAGCTAACAGGAAAACAAAGAAAATTCCAGAGGTCACTGGCACTGAACGCAGGTGCTGTCAACACAGGAGACAGGTTTCTACCATGAGATGAGAACGGGACTCCATCAAAGAACTGAGCTGTGTCTCTCAGCAGCCTGCTGCTCTTAGAGCGACACCTGTTAAAACCTAGGCTGAAACTTAACAAGTAAGCTCATCCCTGAGCTTTATTATGAGAACCTCCCAAGGAAATAGCATTCACCCAAGCCCTCCCTGGAACTCCCACAACACAGAGCTCTCTTGGCTCTGGCAGAAAGTGGACAATCTCTCAAAAGTCGGGCTTTCCCCTCACCCTGTAACCTGGATCTCTGGCAAACAGAAGAAAGGAAATGACTCAGATGGGTAAGGAGTCCAGGAACCTAGACTGCTACCCCACCCGTCCGCAAAACAGCTTCGAGCGGTGCCTCCACTTCTGCCATCAGTCCTAAGGGTTGAAGTAACCCTTTTCCCCATTTTGGTTTCTGACAAGTATAACAACTCCCTTTAGAGAAGAAGTATTCTTCCGAGGTGTGATTTCACCATCTTTCTTCCTAACACTCAGCTGAGATCATAAACTGAAAGAGAAAACCCTTCTGACTTTTAGCAGGTGGTAAGAAGTCCTCTACGAGATATTCTGAATCTTATTTTTTCCAAACTTAACATTAAAAAATGTTACAACTTTTCTTCTGAAAAGGATGTCTTCTCAGGATTAGACTTCTGAGAGGCAAGTACCTGGAGAAGCCTTTTATGAACGGGTCCAGGTTAAGTAGCACTTGGGAATCTGAAGATGTACATAGTGTTTGGCTGTCCATGCTATACCTATGTGTAGTTATGGCTAAACAGTCCCATTCTGTGAATTAAATATTTTCTAATCACAACATTCACTGCAAAAAAATATTGTATTATAGTTATAAAACCTGGAAATGTTTATTTCACATTAAATTGAGCAGCAGCTTAACTCTTCCTAAACATACTCTTTGCCCCCGTGAGCACAAAGACTGGTCACCTGATGATGGGACAGCCCCAGCCAGCTGGCTAATACACCCGAGCATGACGCATACTACAAGACTGGTCTTTAATATCAACTGCTAAGCAACCCAAACCCCACAGTTGACAAGAGCTACATTAATTTCCAAGCACAAGGGCCATCATGATCCACTTATTTCCTCTGCATACAAAGAATAACTTAGAAGAAATACATCGCAAAAAATGCAGAAATGAACAAGAAATAAAAGAAAAAGATTAAACCCATCTTGTTAATGGCTACTCAGCTTTCTGACACCTTACCATTTTTCCATCAATGGACGCCTGAAGAAGACAATATTTAGAAAAGGGACAGATTATATAACCAAAGATCACCCTAAATTCCAGTACCCTTTGCAATAGCTCAGTTTTTGAGCCCTTCTGAAATAAAAGTATTTGAGACTGGTTGAAAGATAAAGTGAGAAAGTGGAGTTAACATGTCACCCTTTAAATTACGAGTTTTTACCCATGGAGGAGGGGAAGGAAAAAAAGGAAAAAAAAAAAAAAAAGAGGTTAGAGTGGAAGAGAGCCAAAGCATAAGAGACTCTTAAAAACTGAGAACAAACTGAGGGTTGATGGGGGTGGGAGGTAGGTAGGGGAGGGTGGGTGATGGGTATTGAGGAGGGCACCTGTTGGGAGGAGCACTGGGTGTTGTATGGAAACCAATTTGACAATAAACTTCATATATTGAAAATAAATAAATAAATTACGAGTTTTTAATTTTTTTAAGTTCATTCTGGTTCATATTCAATTATGTAATAAATTTAGTATAACAAAAGCACTTAAAAACAGGTTACTCAAATATTTGTACACAAATGTTTATTATGGCACTATTCTTAATAGCCAAAAGGTGGAAACCATCCAAACATCCATCAACAGATGCATGAATTAAAAAAATGCGATCTATACATACAACAGAATATTATTCAGCCATAAAAAGGAATGGAGTACTAATATATATACTACAACATGGTTAAGCCTCAAAAACATTACATAAAAGAAGCTAGACACAAAAGGTGACACACTCATTTCCTTTATATGAAATATCCAGGATAGGTAAATCCATAGAAACTAAAAGCAAAGTATGTGATTGCCAGGGCTGGAGAAAGGAGAATGGGGAGTGACTGCAAAACAGGTACAGGGTTTTCTTTCAGAGTGATGAAAATGTTTCAGAACTTGATACAAACGGTGGCTGCACAACACTATGAACGTACTAAATGCCTCTGAATTGTACACCCTCAAATGGTGAATTTTAGGAACCTAGATTTCACCTCGATTAAAATGAAAGGGGCACCTGGGCGGCTCAGTTGGTTAAGCGTCTGACTCTTGACTTCAGCTCAGGTCATGATCTCGTGGTCTGAGTTCAAGCCCCGCATCGGGCTCTGTGCTGTCAGGGGGTTCTCTCCCTCTCCCTCTCTCTCTCTGCCCTACCCCTGCACATGTTCTCTTTCAAATAAATAAATAAACATAAAAAAAAAAAAAGTAGCCCTGAGCTTTCTTACCTACAGACAGGAGGCGCCAAGAGACAGCAGGAGTGGCGAAGCAGGCGAACACGTCGTCGGTGCAGGAGAAGTGCGTGAGGTGAGGCAGGATCACGGACTGGCCCCGGCACTGGCCCCACATGTACACGTGCCCGCCCTGGGTCTTGGCAGCCGACGTGTGGGCCGAGTGGCAGGCCGCAATCTCTACTACCCTGAAATGTTTTAAGAAAAATGCATGTAATTTATTTATCACAGAAGCCTACAGCACGGGACACAAGGCAGATAAAAAGGCCATGCTTACAACGCTGCAAAAAACAGCCCAGGACTGAGGGACATTAGCTTCAAGTCATATGGACAGAACCAAAAGATCACAGCAAGGGTATTGTGTTTTTCCCTTGCTTGTCACCCCACTTCTCATCCTGACCTCATTCTGAATTAGGATAAATAATACATACCGTTGGGGAAAACTTGGAAAAAGGGACTCGAAACCAAAGTAAATGAGTAAAGTGGACACAGAGAAACTGTCTTGACAGTTCTGGGGGCTTAGACAGTATCAAAAAAACAAGAACAAAACACTGCCTCCAATATACCACCTCCTTGACACAACTTCTCACAGCCTCTAAATAAGCGATGGCCTTGGGGTAATGGACTCTACAGACCCTTATCCAAATGGACATCAAGCCAAACACATTTCTCAGTAGGCTTCTTAGGCACAGTCCTGCAATCACAAGTCAACACTCTAAAGCTTACTGGGTAAGACCTCAAGATTTGGCTGAACAAACAAAGCATCTATTCCAGTGAGACACATTAAATCAAATCAATATTTAAACAGAAAATCTCCTTTCAAAAGCAGATTTGAAAGTTGTTTTAGTTGGCTCAAAGGAAAAGTCTACACTACACTCAATTTCTACATGGCGACAGACCCCATTTTACTTCCCTACTAAATGAGCCACAGGAAATGTGAGAATTATATCAAGATGCATTAATGCCTATCAATCACAGGAGGTTATTTTAGGAAGCCACATGAGAATCCTATCAACCGCATGTCCATTCTGGCTGCTACTCAAACTCTTGTTCAAAATGACAATATTAATAAACAGAAGCGTGACAAAGCCAAACACCGTAGCTCCAGCACACAGAATCCCAAATCCAAAAACACACACATAGTCCCGACACATGGTACAGCCAAGTTACCTTTCTTTCTCCACCATGATGTGTGCTGGGCTTAGCAGGTTATTTTTATTGCCAGTTCCCAGCTGCCCATACGTGTTAGCTCCCCAGGCATAGAGCAAGCCCTCATCTGTTAGTGCTAGAGTGTGTGCATAGCCGCAGACAATCTGCAAGTAAATTTAAATGGTTACCATAAACAGGAAAACAGGAAGGGCAGGGAAAACATCTACTTAAAGATTACAGCCAGCTTCTGCAGAATGTCAACTCATCATCAGGTGTGGACTGACATTCTCTGGAACATTAAAAAAGCATTAGAAGAGCCAAAAATTGAGGCATCTGGGTGACTCAGTTGTTTAAGCATCTGACTTCGGCTCAGGTCATGATCTCACGGTCCGTGAGTTTGAGCCCTGCGTCAGGCTCTGTGCTGAC